TTGAACCGCCAGCCGTCTGGTTAGCAGGCAAGTGTCTTAGCCACTATGCTACCAGAGCTCCCTTCCCTTCTTAGTGGTAAATAAACTAATAGTATGTCTTATAAATAATGACAAATTAGATCTAACAAAATACCGTATGTTGGTAAATAAGCTCCCAAAATATGGTACAATTTATGAATCCATCAACAATGTATGTCAGTTTCACTACCCTCTTACTGGCAATGTTTCGGCAAAGCAGGTTACTTCTTTTATATTTATCTAATTAATATCTGTAGTTTATATTTGTTGAATTTTCTGTTCCAGTCCACTGCCCACTTACCAACTTGTAAACTAGTGTTTTTACTAAATAGGTAAGTTAAATCATTCTATAATGAAGTTTTAAAACTCTTCTCATGTCTGAGGGAACTATTTTTTACTATTTGCTTTTTTTTTTTAAATATAGAAATTTTAAATTTGCATGTAATGTATTTAATATCCATCATTTTCTCTATTGTTCCCAAGCACAGATTGATTAACTGTCCAATAGACATTTTTACTTATTTATTGTGATTTGGGTGAAGGTTTACAGAGCAAATTCATTTTCCATACAGCAGTTCATACACATTTTGTTTCATGACTTGACTGCAATCCCCATAATGTAACAGCTCTCTTTCCACTTCCTCTTTCCTGTGTCCTAAGGCACTTGACTGCTAACCAGAAGTCTGGAGGCTCAAACCCACCAGCCAATCCTCAGATGAAAGACTGGGCAATCCATTTCCATAGTGATGCCACCTCGGAAACCCAAGGAGAGGTCACTATGAGTCAAATCGACTTGACAGCAGTGAGTTTGGATTTTTTGGTTTTTCCTGTGTCCTTCTTTCCTATGTATTCCTGCCCCCTGAGCTACCTCCTTGTGCAAATACTGCCCTTCTGATCTCCCATGGTTGCTTTTTCTAAGGAGTGTGCATACCTGGTGTAAATGCTCACCTTATATGCCTATCAATTATCTGGGCAGAGGCCATGAGAGTGAGTTCAATTACAAGCCAAATCAACATTTTTAACCACAATTTTTGATCCAAAGTTCAGTCCCATCTCTCCAAGTGCCCACAAGAAAGCTCCCTGTGGAATATGCACTTTTAACAGTGGTGACAGTGCTTCTAAAAGGTGAAAACTGGTTCCTGCAGGGGGAGGAGGGATCTTAGATATTACAGTGGCTTGTGGCCTCCAAAACTCAACTCTACCCAACAAGGTCTTATTAGTTAGGTATTTAATTTCTCTTGTTAGGGAAAATTTAAATTTAATGTAGTTTTTCTCCTGGTTGGGGAAATAGGGATGAATAATGAAAAACAGATTTAGAAACATAAGGCTATCATTCACCTGTTAGATAATAGGAGCTTATTGGCTTCTCCCTTACTACTCTAACTCACTGCCGTCAAGTCGGACCCAACTCATAGTGACCCCTCTTAGGGTTTCTGAGGCAGTATCACTACAGAAGTGGATTGCCCAATCTTCCTTGCTAGGAGTGGCTAGTGAGTTTGAACCGCAGCCTTCTGGTTAGCAGTCAAATGCGTTAGGCACTACTCAATGACATCAGTATTATCCAATCACCCAGATTTGAAAATGTGGAATTGGTTTCAACTCTTCCTCTCTTATGAGCTCATACATTCATCGAGTGTTCTCTGAGCATTCAGTACTCTCTGCAGGCCCAGCGTTTGTCCCGGTCTTCCCTGCTTGGCATGCCCTCAGCCACTGTCTGCTAATTTGACCAGTCCCCCAAGGCTCCACTGAGCTTCCACCTCCCCCTTGAAGCCTGCTATCAGACCCCTACACCAGCTGCCTCTGGATTCCTTCTTCCCTGCACTCCTACTATGTCTGCCACTGAGAGCTACACAAATGACAGAAACAGCTACTTGAATGCCTAAGACAATGATCATCTCATACTGTACCTTGTTTGTATGAATCTGTCCCTTCCCTGTGAGTTTCCTGAGAGTAGGAACTGAGTCTCTGTTTGTAACCATTTGCTCTTAGCATGAAGGCAAAATAAGGCTCTGGAATAAAACTGCCTGGGTTCAAGCCCTGACTCTACCATGCACTCACTGTGTGACCTTCAGCAAGCTGCTTTTTTGCTTCTTACCCACATTGTTCTCACCTATAAAATAAGGGTAACAATAGCACAAATTTCACAGGGCTGTTGTTAGCATGAAGTGAATCACTCACTATATGAAAGCACTCAGAACAATGCCTGGCCTATTACAAGCACTTAGAAAATGTTAGCTAGGACCAGTGGTGTTCGAGTGCAGCAGGTAGCTGGCACATTGCAGGCTTGTAGAAGACAGCTGCTGAATGAACGGGCAGATGCATTACTTCCTCAAAATATGGGCTGCTGAGCCACACAGAGCTCTGGCTCTGCTGACTGCCAGCTGTGTGGTCCTGTACTACAGTCTCTCTAGGACTTTCTGGCTCATCTATACAATAAAGACAGTATCACCTGCACCTCACAGAGGAGGAGATTAAGCAGCGTGTATTTGCAGAACCCCTGTGTGGTAGTTAAATTTGTGTGTCAACTTGGCTGGGCCTGGCTGAGTGGCTGGGCAGCTGATGGTAGTTATTTCCCATGATGAGACTGGCAATCACCTCCATGGTGGGATCTAACACAAGTAGCTGAGTAGCTGCCTTTGGGATGTGATCTGCTTCCTATGTATAAGGAGGAGCCGTGGGGATAGTTTCTAGCTTATGGCACACCTGGAGCCTGCATGTAGCCATGTCATTGTTCAGCAGCCTGCCATGCCCTACCAACCTTGGAACTTACAATGGATTTGAATGAATGGCCTGCTGTGTGGTTTGGTAACCTCGGGACTGTGCCATTTTATTTGTTGACCTTGGGCTTATTAGCCTCAGCAGCCAATAGATGCCTGAGTGAAGAGCTGCCTCTAGCTTCAGTGGGCCGGGGGCAAGAGGCAGAGCTGAAGCCCAAGCTCGAGGGGCTTTCACCCAGCCCCTAGAGCCTGGCACTTTGAACTCGGACCTAAAGCCTCCAAACTGTGAGAGAATAAACTCCTGTTTCTTCAAGCCATCCCATTCATGCTATATTCTTGTCAGAGTGGCACTAGGTAACCAGAATGCCCTGCCACAGTGGAACCTAATGTGTCCTCAATTAACAGTAGTCACTGTTATGTCTAGAGGTACGAGACTAGGTCTTACAGAGGACTTCTCTGTCTTACTCTCAGTGACACACACCACCTGCTCCATTAATACTAGCATCTGAAAGTAAAATGTAATTTACACAGAAGAGCAGTAAGCATCAGCCACTTAGAAAAACTTTTATTACAAAGCTTACATGGGAAAATTAATTATATAGTGTATAATGAAGTGAACATTACAAACCCAAAACCCACTGCTATCAAGTCAATTCTGAGTCATAGCAACCCTATAAAACAGAGCAGAACTGCCCCACGGGGTTTCCAAGGCCGTAAATCTATAAGGAAGCAGACGGCCTCATCTTTCTTCCACGGAGCAGCTAGTGGGTTCGAACCACCAACCTGTTGGTTAGCAGTCAAACGCCTTCACCTCTGCACCACCAGAGCTCGCTGAAGTGAATGTTAGGATGCTTTAAATGTTACCAGTGGCTATCAAATCTGTTAGTAAGTATAGCCCTCTGAAGCGAAAACAGACCTCCTTGGAAAAAAATACACTTTAATACGTAAGTACTTACTTTACACCATCTTCCCATCAACACCAGCATTTCAAAAAGTGAGACCGAGGTTAGGGACAGAGCACGCAGTGCTGCCCACACCGTCCCAGCAGAACTGGAGGAAGACAACCAGCCAGAGCAAGGGAAGGGAAGTTACCGGGTAAAGTTCATTCTTACCTTCACTCGATTTCTTGGGCACTTGGAACTTGACAAGCAGCTTTTTCAACTGTTCTCTCACCGTCGCAGCTCTGACAAGACCCTTGTAATTCAGGAAATGTTCCTGACACCACTGAGAGTTCTTATTGTGCTACAGAGGAACCCAGACAGAGGGAGAATGAGACAGAAATGTTCTTGATTAGGGTCACACTGTGAGGGTAACTACTTTCTTCTATTTGTTGGTTCACTGGGACAAGACTTTCAGATCACAACGGCCTCTTCTGCCCCATCTCTCCACACAGATGCTGACAAACACACTCACCCTCTGCAGTGTAGTAAATTACTTAGTGTGGCTTTTCTACCCATAAGTCATTGTAAACTCAGTGGTGGAATGAGCAACTGAGGAGCTCCTGCTTGTAAATGTTATCCACCTGGGTTATTTCTGTTGGG